CCAATGGAAAGCGCTCGAAATTTTCGCTTGCAACAAATACAGATAACAATTCTCGCGGCAAAGACAAACATCGTGGACTGAAAAATAAGGGGAATGCTCGAGCAATCCCAACTCCCAACCCCTCCCATGTCCTACTCTTAAGCCCACAACGCAAAAACCCAAGACCCAGAAACATCAACACATACTTTCGTTAGACGACCTAGACCCAATCTGCCTCACGGTGGGGCTGCCATCACGCTCCTCAATACTCTCATTTGCAAACAAACGTCTTCTTAAGGATGAGACCGACATTTCTGACTTGAATGGAGAATTCTCTCGGTTCCATGGAGTCGGGGTAACCATACCCCAGAGTCCACCGGGTGTGTCTCTATGCACTCCAGCCTTCTTAGCAAGAACAGGTATCTTAGATCCCTTACGGTTTATCCTTCGCACTCCAACCTCTTGGCTCCTTGGGTCACCAACGTCCGGTGAGAATGGAAGCTTCGTTTTCATGACCGGTGGTACAACCATCATAGAAAGCTGTTCATCAGAAGAATTCAAAGCGCTTTCTCCGGGAGCAGTATCCTTGGGCTTGATATCATCTAGTGATGGTGCCAAGGGTACCGCTGTGCCATCGCAAATGAGACCTGTATTGCCCCTCCCGACTCCGGAATCAATGAATTCTGCGGATCCGGGGACGTCAATGCTAAATAAAGACCTCTTATATAAGGACCCAAATTGGCCCCTTCGCCTTGCCTGTTCCCCTCGCGCGAGCGCGACACTTCCCGGCACTGCTATCCGTGACGTTAATGATCCAGCATCAGTGTCTTCCGCACTAGGCGCTCGGGGTTTGGGGATGCCCGATCCTTTCGTAATAGCTTGCGTGTTGGTATATCTGCGTAATCTGTGATTTCCCGACTTTTGCTTAGTTTGACTCCCCACTTCCGAGAACAAGTTCTCCAGATCGCTCGTGCTTGTACTTCTAGACCTTCCTCCAGAGCTATTATTAGTGTATCCCCTAGGCACCTCCCTATATACCTCCCTATGCTCTCGGATGAATTGGTTCAATATATATATGGTCGAATCCAAAAGACTCAGATGAGTCGGTGAGGCTGGCATGAGATCCGAGGAAACCGACTCCAGCAACTCAGCAGCGCATAAAAGAGCCCTTAATCTTGGGGGAGCCGCGCTTTTGACTACCTCACCACCCGATATTGGAAGCGGCGATTCCGGGTAGAAATGTTCGCGACGTACTCCAGCGTTTATATACGCTCCCATATGCGGCCATGCAGTGTTCACAGAGCCACCAAAAATTCCCCCTTCATCTCCCAACCGTCCCAAATCTCCCCAACCATCTTCACCCCCTTCACCAATCTCCCTACTATATCTTTCCCAATATTCATCTTCGAAAGAGTCGGCATTCGGAGGAGCTGTTAGCTGAAAACTTCCAAGCGAAGAGAAGCCCCCAGGATGAGACAACTCCAGACTATCACTCGCGATGTAACCATTGGATTGGCGCTGGGAGCCCCTTCTCCTTCGTCTTAGAACAGTCAGTTGCGTATTTTCGGTAACTGTTGACCAACCCGCACTCGATTGTACTACACCAGATCCTACTGAATTTAGACGCCTCCCTGAAATGTCCGACCTCATGTAGCTTGAATTCATCAGTCTTTCAGAATTTTCTCCTGTTGGTGCCACATTAGGAATGTTCTCCGCCCCTGAAACCCCAGAGACACAACGGTTCGGATATCCCCCCAGGCCATCCCCCTCCCGAACAAGAGGGTTGACCCATGGGTACTCCCAGCTTAAATATCTCCTCCTACAATAAGGGCAGTCGCATCTACCGTGAGGCAAAGTCAGCAAAGGCCACGACTAGACTTTGGTTAAACTTATCTGTGAGAACCAAATAGCGAGACAATCTCCATGAAAGCAATGCCCACATGGTAGCCTTGCCAACTCCCATTTACAGTCATCCCTAAGCCTTGCTACTTCTGGGAGTCTCTCCCAAACCCAGTCCTCGTAGCAGATAGCACATTTATCTGGCTCAATATATGCCCCTGCCTGGAGCCTTACGTTTCTCAAAGACTGACCCGATTCAAATCTCAACTCGGAATCCTCTATAACACGCGCAGAACTCCCGCCCTGCTCCATTCTAAACCTCAAGAGCCCGTGCTGGGTTTCAAGAGGGCCGCTTGGGGTGACCGCTGTATGGAAAGAAGTGCAACACGAATGAATTGACTGTTTCCTATTTTTAATCGGTATTGGCAGATTATTCTTGAGTTGCCCCCTCATGGCCCCTGAACCTTGAGCACTGCTTTCCGGTGCTCTTCCCGGCAAGGAGTGAGTTGCGTTGTATCCAATGCCACCAAGTGCTTCATATATCGAACCAGAACTCAATGAAAGCTTTTCCGCAGACCTAGACTCCACAGCTCTACAAGTATCTGAACACCCTTGGAAATATGCTGACTGTTTGATTTGCACTTCCCGTGCACTACCCGAAACAGAAGGCCAGGGTCCAGAAGATAGATCACCTCCCGAGGGACGAGAACCCGGAGGTGCTGATATGCTTCTCATCGGCTTCTTTGCTTTGTTGGACACGTTCCAAGGATCATAAGTGGGACACTCTGGAGAACACTGCCCTTCTCTTTCGGCCCTCTCCTCATAACTGCTTAGTAGCTGTTGGGCTTCGGTAGTGTGAGGACCGGTTGGTCTGTTAGAATTTTTCGGAAGCCTGAAGGGTCCGAGACTGGAGTAATCCGGTGCTCTGGCGTAACCACGCTGGGTATGCCGCCCCCTCGAAGCTTCGCAAGAGTTGTGAACTTGAGAGCCAAACTCACTACACCCGTGCAGGTCCAGGAAAGCTGGTGTTGGTGAAAGACACCCAATGGAGTAATCGTCTAAAACAACAATTAATAACACGTCAGATACAAACAACCAAATGAACGCCCACCAGAGCTTGAAGCCCCCATCTTTCTATGTCCAGTCGACACTCCATTCGTGTGCACCTTCGAGATAGGCTCCTCCTGCTCCGGTGGCTTTTGCAGAGCATTATTCCACCCTCCCTGAAGCAAATCACATATGAAGCCTTCAGTACGTACAAGGTCACCACATGTCGTTCTGACAAAAGCAAAAAACATCATGGTCAACACCGCGGCGGGTGAATCTCCCAAGATTCCCCGCACCTCTTCGGGAACCTTCACGTTAGCAAATTGATCTTCATATACTCGCCACATCCAGTTACATATTCCAAATTGAGGGTCGCCAAAGTTAGGAAAAGGGCAATCATATGCTGGCATTAGCTCATATTGGGCCATCAGTTGTAACCCTAAGAGCCCTGTCGGTCCCCAGGGCAAGAAGGAAGCGATAAAGTTATTGAACGAAATCTAGAATCATAATGTTATGAACTATAACCCGGCTCTGCTTTAGAAAATGCACTCACGCATATATCTCGGCAAAGGGGCTGCTCATCTTGCCAGTATCGGAAATTGTCCATCGAACTCAGAAGACCCTTCTCCTCATGGGCTCTCTCCTTCCCCCTGCCTTTCCCCTTGGTATACTCGCGAACCGAGGTAGGCATCATACACTGCACCCCAACTGGTAACTCCTCTTGATCCTGCTCGGAAGGCTCGAGGGGAGGGGAGAGGACGTCGCCATCAATAACATCCCAATCCAATCCAAGTCCATTCTCGCACAACTCACCCTCGCCCGACACACATCCCCTGCTTGGGAAAGCGGATCGAGACCCCATCCGTACTGAACTCGTTATGTATATATGGTTCCGTTCGGGATCTAAGGGATAGTGGTTCGGAACGTATCGAAGAGTGATGTTTGTTTGCCGTTTGTTGTTTGTCCAGCAATATATAGACAATAATAAAGTTCGTAAAGACTTTGTTCGATAATATCGTATTGGGGGGGGGGAGTCGTGAGGAAGAATCTTAGGAGGTCCAAAGCCTGTGTAGATATTTCACCTGTGCACGTCACCGATCCATGCAGCAGAGATTACACCCAAATACGCAACCATACCAGCATTCGTCCCTCGGCATTGCCAAACTCCGACAACCGCGGCCCCGTGTCTAAGGCGGTTATGCCATCATTGACTCATCAGGAAAAACATTACTCTCGGGTGTGTGTCTCCAATACGATAATATATTCTCTATAACAAACCCCCATTGAAGCCCACTGAAACCCGTAAAACAACTAGTCTTATTCACAAATGCTCACTCGGTTATACAACCGCTTATTAAGTTGCATATTACCACCATACTCTTGGCCCCTGGCTTCAAAGTCGCATGCAATCCCCTAGACAGGACTACCATAAGTCAGTAATACTGCACCGTACTCTATTGGGGTGCGAAGTAAAGGATGAAACCTTGACGGTTGTTCCGCCGTCAAGGAAAGATCTGAGAGCCGTTGCCGGTATTGAAAATGTCGTCCCAGTGGAAAGTCTCTGTTACAAGTACCACAGTGACCACACAGACCCAAATAGCCAAATACCTCCACGCCTTATGCCACCGTCAATGGGATGCGATCTGAAAGTTGGTTTTGGTGGCCTAGGATTGGATGCATGCATGAGAGTTTCTTTGAAACACAGATCAACCCCAACAATTACCTGTTTGGGTACTATTAGCATTTGTTTTTCGCTGTTTCTTTTTTTGTTTCGGACTTTGTCTTGAGCCCTTTATTTGTCAGGGAATGCTTCCCGAACGCAGCGGTTTGTGCCCCGGAAAGTGTTTACTTTATGTCAGCATGTATGATCCCCGAAAACAATGCCATGGGTTTAACAAAAATTAGTGATATTGATACGGAATACAATATAATATAAAAGATGAGAAGGGAACGAGTTCCAAGTGCATCCATCTCCAAAACCCCCAATAAAACTCCATCCGTCCACCAATAAAGAACGCCCACCAACCCGTAGGTAAAACTACCGATATTTACCACCACAGATCACAACATGAGTGCGCGACCCAGAGTGTTTGTATTTAAAACTGGAAACAGAAAGGAAATAAAAATCAAAGTCTCTACGTCTCTCCGCCAATCAACGAGTATTCTCTCATTGTGCTTTCCAACTGCTTGAAGCTGACTGGCTTCACCATGAATAGGTCGATCCCAGCCTCGTAAGCTTCGACCTTATCACTGGCGGCAGCTAATCCTGTCAAAGCGATGATTACACTGCCTTTAGCCCTGCTTTGCCTCTCAAGCCTTCGAATAGCGCGGGTGGACTCGATTCCAGACATGATGGGCATCTGTAAATCTGTTTTTGAATTATCAGTTAGCATCAAATTGCGGTTGAGCAAAGAAATCGCAAATAAGTACCCATCAGAATAATATCAAAGCCCCCAGGCCTCGACTCGGCAGCTCTCAAAGCTTCCAATCCGTTTGTCGCCTTCTCAAAAGGGTATCCTCGCTTTTTCATAAAGGTAGCCAGTAACATGAGGTTGACTGGGTTGTCCTCAACAATCAAGGCGGTTGGCAATGTGCCATCAAGAGTACTTCCTGCACTGATAGTACTGCTCACGCTTGATGCCGAAAGTCCTCGGCGAAGAGTTTCAGGTCGTTTCTCATCTTTCTTAAGCAGTGCCGGGCATATTGAACCCGGTGATGTCGAGTAGGAATCGCAGTCAGCCTCCACTATTGGTAATTCTGTATCACAGGAGCCTCTATTGTTGCTCGGGCCCCATAAAACCTTTCCAAACCCTACCGGTCCCGAGCTCTTCAGTTTAGGACTAGATGTAGGCCGGGTAGGTATTTCGCCAACTGTGGACTCCCGTGGGGAATCCACGCCTGATACTGTTAAAGGAGGGGGGGCAGCATTGCCATTGCGAAATGTTGTCTCCATCTTCTCGATACAAGCTGCTAACGCTTTGGCAAGCTTTCTAGGTCCGCAAGGTTTGGATACAAAATATACAATCCCTCCATCATCGATGCCGCAGAGGGACTGGTAAGTCTCATGCCGCGAAGCGTTGGAACAAATGACAATGAGAGGCGTGCCACCCTCCTTCCCAGGTAACCCCCTGATTTGGCGTGCAAGATGTTCTTCTACCCTTGGCCCCTCGTGAGCAATGATAAAATCGCTACTGATATTGCATGGAGAACTTTCCGCGGCCGGAGTCATACCAAACCAATGAGAAATATACCTGCTGAAAGAACAGCCAAGATAAAAGATTGAAGCGGCATGAATGTTTGCCTCTGATGGCGAGTCGAACCCAAACAGCCGGACCTTCTTGCCACGACCCTTCTCCCGGATATTTTCAATCTCCGTCTCCCAATCTCCAACATCCCTCCCCCCAGTACCGAAATTCTCATCAGGCTTTGCAGTTCTCCTATTGGATTTTTTCAACACCAAACTAACTGTGACCTCTGTGCCTTTCCCAAGCTCGCTCTTAACATCGATCTCCCCTCCGAGCATTTCCACGATCTGCCGAACGATACTCATGCCCAGACCAGTTCCACTGACCAATGGGTTCTCCTGGCTAAAGGGCGTAAACAACTTGGTTTTCAAGAACTCTCTGCTAATCCCTTTTCCAGAATCCGTAAAGACCAAAGTGACCAAGCTCTTCTCGTCATCATCTCCGAGACTAGGTGGAAGATCCTCAGCCCTAAGCTTAATTCTCACCCAACCCGAGTCGGTATACTTGATAGCATTTCCTCCCAAATTCAAGAAAATCCGACGCAAAGCGCCTGGCTGTGTCCGAAAAACCCACCCGTCTTCCCGCCTATCTATATCCATAATCACTGTAATGTCATTCTTCGTTCCGACAATTTGCCGCCCACTGGCCCCGAAATCGTCGACCTTTCCAACATCCTCCATAATTCCAGGGGTGCTAATGCCACGGAACTCATAGCCAGCAAACACGCCTTCAGTCACTTCCTCCAATATTGCACTCAAATCAGTGTCCGCTGTCAGATTGTCGACATCCGCCGCTGAGTTAGAGAAATCTCGTGCATATCTAAGCCTCCCCTTGCAATCTCCATCTTTCTCACCGCCCGGCTGCACAGGAGGTATTTCTCCAACATCACCCGTAGTTGATTTGCCGTTTAGCCTGCTCCATTTTCTAATTGCCCCTTCTTTCTTCAAAGCAGAACCACGGCCTCTCCCACCCCATCTATTACCAAAACTATTAAGTTTTGAGAAGTCCAATACATGGTTAATCGTATCAAGCAACGTACGCCCACAGCTCTCCACAGTGTCCACAAAGCTCCGCTGGAAATTATCGAGGTCGGTCTCCGACAGGAATTCTGCACTGGCGAGTATCCCGTGTAGCGGTGATCTCAATTCGTGCGACACTGATGATATGAAATCACCTTTCGCCCTATCCGCTGTTTTTTAAAGCAAGAAAATTATCAGGGCTCCAAACACGGCAGAAATTACAAAAAATACTCTGAGAAACTTACCGCTGACAGAATGTAATCGTCCAATCTCGGCCATAATACTATTCCCAAATGCTATCATGTAGGTACCCTCGATATCCTTGCAGAACACCCTTGTTTTAGAATTACTCCACGCAAACCCCACAGCAAATAGGTTTCCATCAAAATCGTACAGTGGGACAAAAACAATAGATCTGCTCCCAGGCAGGAACTCTTTTAACTTTTCTATCTGCGTCTTGCACACACTCTTCCCCCCCGGATGGGTTGATGTGCAATCAGAATCTGAGACAGTAGACACAATTTCAGAACACCCAATGTCACACTCTAGTTCCACTGCTTCATATCCTCCATCAACCCCCCCGCCATAAGTAAATATGCGTCCTTGGGGGCAGGAATCAACCAAAGAGTGCAAAAACGGCTCGCTAAGTGCTTCAACGGAGAAAGGAAGATCCTCCTCAGCTTCGCCAACCCGGTGGCCAAAAAATCCTTCACCCTCCAATGTGTTAGTGAGGGAAGAACTAGATGCTGTAGCATAACCAAAGAGTCCAGACTTTCGGCGACTCCCAGATGGCTTCTGATCGCGATATGCATCTGCAAGCTTCGGCCTTTTACCGACCACGTCTTCCGGATTAGCCTCAAATCCATAGTTTCTCCCCAAATCACAGTCGACAAAAGCCACGCCATCTGCTTCAAGCGACGACCGAATGAGCGCAGATGCCCGGCCAAAGGTAGATAAGAGAGAATTTTCAACATCATCGCCATCCCGATATCGTGGCTGTGCGTCTGGAGCGGAAGGATAACCATAATCAGGCTCTTTGAAAATTGGTGGAGACAGAGATTCTGTAGAAGATGCAGAAGGGGTTGTGGTGTTGGTGCCCGAAAATCCGGAGGCATTCCCTGAAAATGTCGCAAGTCCTGAAGTTGACTGAGAGCAATAACTGAGTTTACGAGATAACTCTGGCGGATATGTTCTGGGGGGTTCGGGTGAGGCAAAGTCCTCCCTATCAGGAGAAGGAAACGACAAAGGTAATTGCGAAGGCTTGAGGTTAGACAATACCCCACCTGGTCGCGGCTTCTCTGAGGGGGAGAGTGGGTCGACACTGTCCCCTGCTCCAGGAGAGTTTTGATCAGGCATGTCCAGCTTACAACTGCAGTGAGACTCCATTGATGGCTGGCGCCGAATCCCCCGTTTCTCATACCCACGATCCTGCTTCCCAGGCTCTTGGCCCCTAATAGCGTCCGCCCAAGCCAACTGCTCCGCCTCGACTACCTTCTCCTCTCGAGCGTTTCCTCCAATGCTCCGCAAGCGTCCATCATTTCTCACATCTCCAAACTCGGCTCCAGCCTGCAGGAAATTTGCCGCAACAAATCTCGACATTCCAATTCCCATCATCTTCCCTCGCTTCATCTCATTTTCTGCCCTCACTCTCTCTAGGTGCTCCATCACTATTTCTGCCATCTTTGCCATCGTCCTCCTTTCCTCCTCTTCGAGACCCCCGGGGTGGGTTTTATCATCAACCACACATATGCTTCCTATTGAAACGCCATTCTTAGTTCGAAGTGGCGCCCCAGCATAATATCGTAGATAAGGCCAATTCGATACGTTCGGATGGTGTTCCCATTCTGGTTCCTTAGCCATATCCTCTAATTCAAAGATCATGATACATTCTTCGCCGTTATTCAACTCTTCCGGCGGCACAAGCGAGATGGTCCGTTCACAAAGCCCCCTACCCCGCGGCATGGTCGTGCGCCCACCAACCCATAGGCCATCCCCTGGGTCATGAGTATAGGGTTTTGTCAGGGACAACGAACGAGTAGACTCCGCTACCAAGTACACAAGCTCATCATCGACTAGGCTTATCATAGACCGTTTACAATTTAACAAGTTTGCGGTCAAGAGAGCAAATGCAGATAAGGTAGGGTCCTCAGAAGAAACCACTTCTAGTCCAACATCGACCTTTTGATGATCCAACCGCTCGCCGGGAGGTGTAGGAGGTGAATTATCACTAGGAGGTTGATAATATCTTTGAACACATAAACAATCAGCTCCCTAGTATTTTTAGGGGGGTATTTTTGAGAAGAAAATACTTGTAGAGCTCTCTTGATCGCAGAGCTTCGCTGATACCACCAGGGTACCCGGCTTCATTATGGACACTGCAGTCGGCAAACGGAACAGGAGACGGACTAGTCAGGAGCGCCATGTCTGCGGTCAAATAAGCTGTGCCCACCGCGTCTCCCGGACTCCCTGCGAGCAGCTGTCCAGAGAAAGATGTGGTAATAAAGTATCGAAAGCGAATGCAGGCAGAAAAAATTCAACAGTGCTCGATACTGATGAAGGTCAGAAGAGTCTTTCCGTGGCGTTTTCGAAGCATCAAATATCCAAGCTTCAGACGAGATAGGCTCTAGATTGGGCGGTTAGAAGACAAACCAGCAAGTCCGTTAGTCTAAGCTCTTTCCGTCACTTGATAGGTAAAAACGACAAACGGGTGAAAAAACCGTACTCACAAAATCAGGCGTTAAATAACCCCCACCGGTCTTGATACCGGTCTTCCCCTAGGGTAAACTGAAAACGAAAAGACGTTGAGTTGAACACTGAATTTAGAAAGCTATAGGGTCAGCAAAGACTTTTATGTATAATATCTCATATTGTTATTTTATTTTTCCCCCCCTTGTCCCTTCCAAGCTTCCCTTTTTTTTCTTCTTCTGCTCCCGGCCCCTTCCAGCTATGATATGTTTTGGCCGTGGGAAAAGAATTCATCCAAGCCCTGCTCCGTGAGCTGCAAGAGGACCGAGAAGGTACGTGTATCATATCAGGAGAGGGAAAGCTAGGTCCCACTTTTGAGGCTAGAGCTCCCGCCTTGGTACGAGTATCATACTGTACTGTACTGTACCCGTACAGTACTCGTATCATAATTATGAATATGCTATTTATTGTAGATCTCGAAAAAGTCGTCAGTGCTGGGACTTCTCAGAGATTTTGTTTTCCCTCAAACCCAATTTCCCGCGGCCCACTTCCCTTCTTCTAGCTTTGAACTTTACCTCTCTCAGCTTAGAGAACCAAGCTGAACCCCAAGCGGGGCGTCGAGCGAAGAAAAAAAAATTGAGAAAGTTGAAGAACTGACAAACTGACGACCTTTTTGAAATCGATAATAATTCAGCTACCATAGCGCTCAGCTGATCCTCTCGACCTTCACAGGATTTCCACTCCAACATTCCTGGCCGAGGACGAATCTTGCCATCCCGGAAGCTAGAAAACTGTCAAAGTTACTACTTGTACGCCCCAAATGCCACAATCACTCGAGTAGGTGTAACGGCAATGAGAGTATCTCTCGCTTTTTTTTTTAGGATTTATACTGAGCAAGAGGGGTAAAGTTCTAGATAGAGGTGAGGTCGATCGGATGAGTTTCAATCCGTCCGAAACTAACTTTTCGTATCGTGTCGGAAGCGATTGGAGGGGAGGATGTAAACCACCCTGTCACAGAGTAGCTTGCGCGCAAATATCGAATCTATTGTGGTTCAAACTTCAAAATACTAAGCGGTCTTCCCTTTTCCCAGTCGAGAAATCGATTCGGGGGTTACGCTCTTCCCCTGCACGCTTCTATTGTAGCACCATATTGTCATGGATCAAGGTTCTTCTAGAGAACAAGCGAATCCCAGTGTCAAGCCCAACGGGTACAGTACTCGAGCAGGAATGTACGTGTACTGTACAGCACGGCAACACACACACCATTGGGGAACAACCAAATACACAAACCCCAAAATACACAATTCCCCACGATTGGCTTGCAGGTTAGGACCACAATGACTTGACCAATCAGTAGTGACTGTGGGCCGTATTTGGACGGGGTGTTTACTGCAGAGTACTGTAATCGAGTACAGGTTACTTGGATGCTCCACGATTATATCGGGGAACATATCGGGCTAAACAAGGATATCTGTGGGGGTCCCCCAATTATTGTGAATTCCGAACCTCAATGAGCCCTGACACGGACAAAATCTATCACACCATCACAATGTCCATCAACGCGTCTGAATCCGATTTTTTACTTGTACTCGACTGAACTATGCCGCCCAAACCGCAATCAACAAATGCGCGTTATACTTCAGGAAAAATCACAGTACGGATACGACACCGATATCGTAGATTGAAGGCTTCGAGATCTTAGTCAAGAAATAAGCTGAAGACAGAGGCAGTTGCTGGGTAATCACTGCTGAAAGGTCCGCGTGTGACCGTCACGACGACTCTTAAGAGTAAAATAACCAAAGACCAAGAGAAACTCCCAAAAATCCCAGCCCCTCCTCGCACAGGTCTAAAACGGCACCGTGTGCTAGCGGAGACCCCCGAACCTGACAGTGCCAGGAAACACAGCGACAATGTGGAGAAACATCTGCTCCCCTGCCAGATCTGAAGGATCTCGTGGATGTGGGTGGTGATTTCCGTTGTCTCCAGAGCGATTTCGAAATGAGTCAGAACACTACCCGAGTTATTGCGCGAAGAACGTTATGCATCACATAATGCCACAAATCATATCATACACACCTCATTAAAGTTGGCCGAGGGTTTGGGGAAGTATTCTCCGCCCCTGACGCCACCAAGTGCTGGAATCTTGCAGGTACGAGTACAGTATGATGCAGCACGGTGTAGAGTATCTCCCTTTCCGCACCCTTTACCATGACATATATATAGCTCACCAATACCTCGCCGCCCGGTGACAGAGAATACAGCATTTGCTATCCCACTACCGGTAACTGGTTCCCCGGTAGTAGTGCCTATCGCACCTGCATGAGTGTATGGTTCATAATGTTGCAGTCACTTGGGATGGCTGAATGGACGTACGCAAGAACCGGCGGTGGTGGTGCTCATATCGCCGAACGACGGCCTAGTTATTGCTTAGGCTAACACGCCAAACGGCTGCAACATCAATACTACAAGTAATAAGAGGGACAAAAAATTGACTCTGGACCTACCATGCTTATCCATTTAGATATGTAAGGTCTACTACTAACCAGTATCTCCTGCTGGATGATTTCAAAAACACAGTCCAGGTGCAGTACTCAGTATTGGTGCAGCGCCAAACGTCTCCAGAACCGGTACTTCTTGATGCGGATGCATGATAACGAATGACCACAAGTGAACAAATCTCTTCACGTCCCCCCCAAACAGGAGAACCGCAAGAAACAAAGGACCAACGAACACCTCTGCCAGTATCACAAATATATGGAAGTTGGCGAGACCCGAACCCAGCAGTGAACGTACGAGTACAAAACAGAAAGCCCATCCTTAGGGGTGTGATAGTTCCAAGTTTTTTTTTTGACCCCAGGGTTGTGGCCTTAGGATTGGCCACATGCAAAAGTAATAAGGGAACGGATCCTACAACCAATCCGGCGAGAAAAGAGCTCTCTGTTGCCACAGACAGTAAGGAATGGGGCCCGTTCCGGGGGGTCCTCGGCACTCCGTAGTCCCGTACCGGTACGGTATTGTGCGGTACTCGTACAGTCTTCTGGTCGGCGCTGCAGCGTAGGGGTAACTTGATACTTGTTCGCGCGGCTGGGTGAGTGGGATTGGCAGACAACTTAGTATGATATCATACGATGCGTGGTATCATACAAGCAAGAACAGCAAGCAAGGATATCCTTCTCCTGGACTAGGGTTCGTGCTTGCAGCCCCGGGCGGATTGGGGAGAGGTGGGTACCGTACGGTGAATCACCGGTACAATACGGTATGATATGGTACTCGAGTACATTGCAAGCACTGTCTTGTGCGCCCCGAAAGGGCGGGGCGGGCTGATGCCGATTCCCCGCACCGCACGGGTGACCCTATTTTTGGTGCAGGAGCAAATCTTCATCGGAGATGGAAACTTTCCGTGATTCGGACCGCACATACAGTACTGTACTTGCGTGCAAATTTAACACTAAGCTACGGTATGGTGCAACGACCCTTGGATCCCTAGTGCTCTTCCTCGTCCATCAGCGCCAAAACTTTAATTTGAGCGCCAGTAAATGGGCTCGTTCACACGATATACGGTAGTCTAAAGTAGGAAACATTGTTGATGTCCGGGCTGGGTTAGAGAGATCTGGGGCACGGTGCGACTGTTGAGCCCGGGGTAGGATACAAGTATCGCATCAGTCGCACGATCGTACAAGTGATATACCGGTATTCTACGTTAGTTAGATTGCCATACCAACTATTATTCCACATCTCCCGACGAAGATGAAGCCTCGATCTTCAAAAAGGCCACAGATCGCATTCAATTTTACTGGCACTAGCGCTAGTGCCATGTAGTATCATCGGATGTACAAGTACCAGGGAACATAAGTACTAGCACGGTAGACACCTTACGACACGGCAATACTGTACGAGTATGTATATCGTAACCCTGGAAAGGGGTTTTTTTTTTTTTTTGATAGCATACCGGTACTGGCACTGTATCGCGAACGATCGAAGGGAGTCTTCCAAGATACTCTGCGCTGGTGCACCTGGACAACCGGTACTCGTAGACATGGCGTCAGGTTGCGGTTGGAGACGATTGACGCCAGAAAACCTTTTAGTTCGAGCATCTGTGCGCTACGGTACTTTTTCGTTGGCGGGGAATCGAGATTGGAAGGGGCAGCTGCCAAATTAGTGCGGGGACAATGGTCTGTGCTGGGTGGAGATTGCCTCTAAGAGGACAAGATCAATCCGTACCAGTTCTGCGCTGTGTAACCTTCTTGTTGCATTTGTTCCATCTCACTTGGTGATCCTGTTTTATTTGGAACCCTAAGATACCGGTATGAAATGTATCGTAACGGTACTAGTACTCGAGTACCATGATGCTTGTACCATACTTGTAAAAGTTCGGACAGATGGTACAGTACAGTAGGGTAAGTGCGCTGGGACGTTGTACTAGTACCGTAGTTGCCTATCAGAGTGAGACGCTGCGTGTATGATATTCCTTTTTGTTTTGTCTCAACCACAAGTTGAGTTTGCTGCGTTTCCTCCTCGCGTGGCCGAGAAGGGGGATTCCGACATCCCAGCCGTACAGCGATACCTTTAGTTAGGTGGTTTGTCGGTAGAATGGAATAAGGTTTCTCCCAGCACATTTATCTTCTATTCGAGCTTTCACAGTATGTCATCGACACATGAAGGGGAAGTGGGAAGCGGGCCGAGGGACTGCTACAGTATTTGTAAACAGGACGGTGTTGTATTGCTGGCGCATTTTGACTATTCCTGATTAACTCGAGTGCTGGGTCGTGCCATACCGATATCTCCTCGAGTACGGTAGCTAAAGTTGGGATATTGGGACCGAAATTTTCCCTCCAAATAGGGCTCGTGTACTCGAGTATTCCCTAGGCGGTTGGTGTGATACCCGTATGATATAAACGAATCGAACCCCCTATCAGTATGGCGTTGTAAATTAGCATGATTGTCCGTCCCAATATAGCTCCAAAGGTTGAACCTGCCGTGGCGTTAGCCTCTAAGTTACCAAGCTTTCTCGTTTATCTTAGATCTATGGAGCCGCTGACGGCATGGCATATGCTGCTGGTCAGCTATTGGTGGTGTCATACAGTACTCGACTCCTTGATTGTGTCAGTATGATAAGTGAGCACGGCAGGTTTACTCTACTTGAGTAAAGCGCAGAAGCACTTCACGACAGAATTGAAGATGTGATGGATCGCAAGACGGTGATTGGAAATTGGTTAATTTATGAAGGGCTTCCCACCCTCCAGAATGCCACGACATACAGTAAGACAAATAAAGTTATGTGAGGATGCCAGTGGAGGGCAGTACGGCATGCCTGGAATGGTGTTGACATTGGCATTCGTAGAAAGAAAAAAATGACCAGGGATAAATTGGGGGGCTCACTGCCGGGTGATGCATTGAGATGATTCCCTTACGTAGGAAGGGACAGTTGGAGTGCAGCACTGGATCAACCCCTCCCTCTTCTTGGACCAAACAACATGACAATTTGAATTGTCCGACCACGATGGTTTCCAGGGCAAACCTGGGGGGCCTCCAATTGCACGGATACAGCACAAGTCCCAGAAATATTTCGTTCGGAGGTCTCCGCTGTTGTTTTCTCCACCTTTCAGTCAGAGGAAATGGCTAGAGATCCGCCTCTCTGTTTGAGCGTTCGCCGGTGATCGCGATCGGTTGCTGCGGTAATTTACAATCACAGCGCAAGCCGAGACAGAGCACCCCTCGGGGTCGGAAGAAAGTGGATACAGTGTTTCTAATTTTTTTAATTTTCTTCATGGGATCACCCAACGATACCAGCATCTTTGGCCCAAAAAAAATCCATGCGGCTCGTCAGGGTTGCGCTGCGAGGACCATCAATATTTCAATTTTGGCAGCCAGAGCAGATCATCGTCGGGGAATGGAAGGAGAGGGAAGTAACGCTACCGATTAGACCAAGAATCTTGATCACTAGCCTGCTCATTATCATGCTAGCTGTCGGAGAGCGCGACACAAACCTTTCGGGAGCACAGCACCGACACTCGAGTCTTTGGGTGCTGTAACCTCTGGCGCGCAGAATAGAGAGAGTAGGGCGGTTCGGTCGAGCGAAGCACTGGTAGACTATTTGCTAAATTTATGACAACACTAATTAATGGAAGAGAAGGAGAAGCCTTCATCCTACTCGAGCAGTGTTCACGATGTCAGAAGCTTCGGAGGGCTCTGTCGGGCCCCGCGGATTAAGGACGCAGGCGCTCTGGAGAGCCGGCCCTTTGGCGTACAGTACGGCTGAGATGATTGGCTGCGCGGATTCCTTATCTTGAACCCAGTTTCCGATAAAGTTAGCGTAGAGGGCATCTTAAACGATAGCTGCAGCTTAGCGTGTCTGGGCCGGTGCGGCTTATCTCCTTTTTCCTTGGCTTTGTCGTGTGAGGGCAAGCGACGAGCTCCTTTTCTGGTTGAGAGCACACTTGGCTGGAGTCCTCTTCTCCCTCGCGGTACTCGTCCCGGTAGTCTACGAGTACCGCACTAGGTACAGTACAGGTACAGCGACATCAAACTCGCGGAAGAAGGGCGGAAGAAGGTGAGGCGATATTGACCCTTCATCTTAACCCATTTCCCCACAGTAAAACTGCACACAGTTATTGGCTGCACTTTTGGCCCCCCATCTGGCCAAGAAGGCTGCGTTGCGTATGTCCCCGCCGCTATAATCTTCCCTCATCCCATCAACACGCTCGAGTACGTACCAGCTGTCCTCACCCATACCGATACGGTACTTGTATCATTACCGGTGCTGGTATCGCGTCTATCCTATCGTACATATCACACTCGGCTGTAACATCCCCGGAATCGCAAAAATCCTTTCCCTTTTCCCTTCGAAATTTGGGTTTTGCGTGCATGGTGGTATTGTACAGTACAGTACCGTACTCATACCCGTCATTTGATTGTCTCTCTCGGATCTACCTAGACGCCCTTTTGACGGCCGGACATATTGCACTCGAGGAAACATAAAACAGCAGGGACAAACAAACCGGCACACATAGGGTGCGGAAAAACATAGGATACATTGAGCGGCCAAGCGCATCTTGAAATACGGTCGAGGTAGAAGGCGACGGGAAATAGGGAGCATTTTTGAGTACAGTACTCGAGTACATACATTCAGGTATGATAGGGTACACCTCAGTCTGCATTGCATTCGATGTCGTGTTGAAGTGGCGACTCGCTCCCCATTGGTGCCGTGTGCGATAGTGGAGCTAACTTATGCTGGTGCGCAACACAGTCTGTCCCTCCTTCCTCCCTCCCACCTCCCCCCCCCAACTCGAGACCCAATCCTTATTCCGGCCACTGCAACAGCCCACATAACCCCCGGCCATTTGTCATTTTCTCGACAAACAAGCTCCGTCGGTACCATCCCCATCACCACTCCCGTTATCTCCATCTATCAGTCGATCCAGCTTTGATTTATTTTGCCTTTTCAGTCAGCAAACTCCCCGAAGATGCCCTATCCTTCTCCATCGCTGCAACCACAACGTCGCTCTGCGCAGCATTCCAACAATACCTCTCCACCGGCTACTCAACATACTCAAATGATTCAACCGCCGCAGTTCAATGCATTCCCGACCTCGCCTTTCTCTAATCTCGCCCACCTTCCGGCCCCTTGTCGCCAACTCCATCCGCCAAAGTCCCCACTATATCGACCCGCTGTGCTTCGTTCAATTGAGAGGCCTGTTAGACGTGAAAATTCACCTCTTACGCCGCCGACGAGCTCTGCGGCCTCTGTGAATGAAGAGTATGTTGGTGATGGAGAGTATAAGAATGGCATGGACATTCGAAGTGCTGGTTATGGTGGCTATCTCGGTGGAGAAGATTTTGGAATTGTTGGTTTGGAGGAAGAGGGGAAGGTTACGGGTCCCCCAGGAAAAGGACATTGGAAGGTATTTATTTCCCCAGTTTGGCACCTGCAAGAATATTTCCCCCTCTTCCCAATCATGCCCTCCGCGGGCAAAGTGCATCCTTTGGAGCGGGTGAGACGGCCCCTGCTTTATGTTCCTCAAACCGATGTCAAGGGATGGGGGATGTGGAGCTTTTTCACACACATTTCTCGCTTGGTGTACACCTCTTTGGCTACATGGACGGCAGGGTTGTTTTTTTCTCGCGTTACTAGCCCGCTTGCGTTTTTACAGTCGTGATTGCTAACTTGCATTGCGTGCTCATCTAGCCTGACGCCGAAGCCGTTACCTGTGACGCGGTTATGTGTGTTAAAAACTTCTCATTTGTTCTGAGAAGACACCACTGTCGACGGTGAGTTTGTTATCTGCTTCGTCTTAGCTTGGACCGCTTTGCCTCACCGCCTCACTTCGTCACCATTATCCATTCACCCTTCCTGAATTCTCTTCGCACCAAGCCCCCTGAAGCTTACCCGCCTACCTGCTCTCCCCACATTTTTCGTGGTGATTTGGCTCTTGTCATTGAGTATTTCGACTATGTTTTATTTAATTCTGTGCTCGAGTGTAAGGGGGAAGAGGGATACTTGATTACTAACATTTTCAATTTGTACAGATGCGGCAACGTATTTTGTGCACAACATACAGCCCACACAGTTCCTCTCAACCAAAACGCTCGCTTTCACATTCAAGGATATCAAGAAAGGGCCTGTGATAATTGCTGGAATGACTACACACGTTTGCTCGACGCTAAAAGGACGGATTCTCTGAGCTCTAGCAATAGCAGCGGCTCAACCCTTAGCAACAACCATCCTAGCCCTAGTAGTCCTGTCATGAATATGGGTGTCAGAGGCACCGGTCCCGGAAATGGAAGAGGAATGGACGGGCTCGGTGCAAAAGTTGGCAGTTATGTTGGCAGTGTTCCTAGAGATTGGAGCTGGAGCACCTTTTAGGTCAATTCAATTTGGATGCGGGTGGACAATACTGCAGTGAGGTCGGCGGAATAGGCTATAGTTATCAACTATGACTATTTTGCTTCGACTGGAGTATATGTCAACAATCTGTCACTTGACTGGCGGTATGGGTTTAAAGGTTGTGCGTTTGTCATGACAGGGGGGAGCTTCCCCCCCCTCTTTTCCGGCTTATTGGGTTGAAATCGGCGGTCTGTGGTGAAAAACGTTGTGTCTTATTTCCCTTTTTTCGGGCACGAGTTTCTTTGCCAGATCTCTCACCAGTTGAGCTTCTGAATGGCTCCTGCTCTGCTTTTACGTTTGTGTAATTTTGTTCCTTTCTTCTTTTCTTTAGGTTTCCTGATGTATTTTCTATCTCGTCATCATCACCGTCATACCATAGATTTCATCTCATGTTTCTGGGCAGTTTTTTATGCTTTACGGATTGTATTCCAATGGGTGTTTTTTCTTTCTTTCCTTTCTTTCTGTTACGATGTCTTCTGGTTTGGCACTATGTTCTAAGGTTTTATGTGCCGTGTGTGTGTGATTAAAGGAATTCTGGTTGGTTGGTTGGTTGGTTGACTGGGTTGTAATGGGGGGGAGATCGTGGTGTTCAGTAGATAGGGTGGCACTGGGGTTTTTTTTCTACTCTTTGTTTCTCTTCATTTCCCAGAGGGGCTGCGGGACATTGGGGGGGGTTTCTATTTGTACTCACTTGTAGAGAGGTTATGGAGTTTTTTTCACCCTTTCGGCCACAAACCGGTTCTGAGCGCGGAGGCGATGTTTGGCATGGTGGGTTCTGGTGGTCGCGTGCCGTATTTGATTGAGTACGGTAATGTATGGTACAGTACTCGAGTAGATGCAAGCGTTCAAGTGATTGTGATATTATTTCTTATCGTTATCGTGGTTTGTGAATATGGTCTTGTGCCATGAGTAGAGTATTCGGAGTTTCCAACCCCACTGGAGGGGAATAAAATCCCGGTAAGATCAACACTGGGGTTCAGAAGTGGATTGCTGTGGATATTGTGGGAGTGTGGAAGGGTCGAGTGAGCATTGGCTGCTCGAGTACTAGTACTTGTATCATGAATAGGTTACCCAAAGCATGTTGGTGCCCCACTCTCAATGCGTTTGGTTGGAGAAGGCTGCATCCGAGCAGACGACACACGACCATTTCGCAGAGCGCGGATACCGTGCTCAAAAGAATGCGGGGAAATTCCTCGGCGGGAAGCCACGTCGGAGGAAATTGCGGCATATCGGTGTTATCGTACTTTGTGTGCCCTTTCTGTCCTTTCTGTGCCATTTTCACATCTGCCCACCCATGAGCACAGTACTCACTCATACGTAGACTTACAGTACAGTGCTCGAGAACCGCTCAACGTTTTTTGTGGTGTGACAATGTCCATTTCCTCGTATGATGCGATACCACTTTATAATGATTTCCATTTTTTCGGGTGAGAACTCACCCCATGGCGGTTGGTAATTAATTACGACCGAATTACAGTAACATCTTATTTGTGGTTATTATATATCGCATCGTATCATACTGAGTACAACAAGCACGGCTTTATTGAATTTTCATGGAGGAGCGGTGATAGTATCGTACTCGAGTAGGTATTCTGTACGGGTACGAGTATAGTACATATCAGCGGTTTGTTCCGGCTTCCATCGGTCGGTCATGGTACGATTGCTCGTCGGCTATCGGGCTGGCGTCCGTTGACTTGCACACCAAGACCCCAGATTTGGCTGGGTTAATCCCCACATGAAAAACTGTCAATATACTCGAGGAGAGCGGTTATTATGCGCTGGGTTGCTGCGGCTCCAGAGTGGTGATGATGATGCATGGGACCTGTCCCACCCTCCTCCCCTCCCACCTTGCACCGTTCCTACTCCGCTGCCCCCCCTCTTCCCCTTTGCAGCTTCAAAGCTTCTTATTGTTCTTCTTCGCTTCTTCCGTGAATGCTACTTCCATTTTTCCTTCGTTGATTTGACGCTTTTCTATTTCACTTTCCTGCCCCCCCTCCCCCCCCGGAAAGCACCTTTGCACTCGATGAGACTTTAACGGTTACGCAAAGCAAAAGCAAAAGCAATGTCTGTCCTCGATGACGACTCCTTTGAAGAGTACTTCGACTCTTCCCCCGGAAGCTCTCATGCTAGCGCTGAATGCGCCGCTGCCAAAGGCCGTTACGATTCGTGCTTTTTTAAGAGCTATAACGATCGTATTGCTCCCCAAATTCGCCTGCTTTGTTTGTTTATGCGAGTGTCACGTGCTGGAGTGAGTGGGGTGGAACGGGATTGACGCTGAGTTGATTTGCTGTAGGATATCGAGTCGGTGAAGTACGCATGGATGAATGCAAGGCTTTGTTTAACCAGTACAAGAATTGTCTTAATGTATGAGCGCCCCCCCTCCATTCTGCTTCCCCAAAGGAGAGATAGAAGGAGGAAGGGGGGGAAGGCGCGTCTGTTCTAACACTGGAGTTAGAAAACTCTGAATACCGGCAGTCCTCCGAGAGATAGGCTCCCGCCCAGGGTAGCTGTTCCACCCAAGAGAGTCACGGATCCGGACGAAGCTTGGAAGAGAATGACGAGTAGTAAGTGAGGTTAGCGGTGGCCTGCCCGGGCCATGGGTCTGTTGGTGTTGGAGTTGGGTTTGATATTTTGCCCTTGCTCTCGCTGTTCCCCGTGAGTTTCTGAGTTTCTGCGGGTTCGGAAATGGACGGGTTCTGCTCGGAGGCCTTTTAAATTTCGGTTTAGGATGTTTTCTTTTTCTCTCTTCTGTTTTCTCTTTGCCTTCTCCCTAGTATACCCCTATCGCTTGGGCTTCCTTAGGGATCCGTTCTTGTATTTTATCAACTTGCGTACCTTTTGTTAATGTGGAATTCGCTTATTGGAGTTTTGGGGTTTGGCCGTGTTGATGCTGGTGTGACATGTCTGAGGAATGCTAGCTCAAGTGCTCGGTATCGTCCCGTGTGCGGGCACTTGAGTTTAGTTCGTGCCAAATCGGTGGTTGCTTTTCTGTTTGGGAAAGGTTTTTGATGCATTTTTTGGTAGACTTGGGTGCGGAACTGGATTGAAACGGAGGGCGGGTTAAGCAGCTTTCACAATGAATTTCATAGGGATAGGAGTGATTTACTTACTGGTGTCATAACTCTGTTCGGGCTCGATTTCTCGGTATGGTCCACGTGATGGTTCCCATATACCGCGCTTTGGTCGGATTCGTCGTTCACATAGGATCACTCGTGAATACTTTCTGTGTAATCATGCCTAGGCGAAGTGTACGAGTAGAGCTGTTCGTGCTCCACATCCAGCTGACATGGTTCGGGCTTCGCCCTAATGACATTTGGTGTTTATTACTGCTAGTAGAATAGGCTGAAATCTTAAATGGACAGCTATCGTTACCTAAGTCTAGTAATCACACAGCTGTAGGATATGTATAATAATATTTTATAATGTTATTATTACTAAGCTTGAGGAATCCGAGCTCAATATTTAAGGTATGATATGATAATATGATACTACTTGTATGATAACTCAAAATTTTGTTTTTCACCCTGCGGCATAACAGCAATCCAACCGCTTTGATATTGTGCGTGGACAAAATTAACCGCGATTCAACAGAGGAAGATCTTCGGCGATGACAACCACACTCACCCACCAATCCACTATCATGAAAATCAAAAAAATTAAAAATTAAAAGATGTAAATACATAGTAGAAATTAATATTTGGCATACCATCCATCAGCCTTAATAATTGCCTCTATTCTATCCACCATTGATCCAGCTAAAGTATCAAAAACCTTTGGGTCAAGAAGTTCCCAACAATAAGTGATGGCCTCTACTATTGCCTTCTTGACCACATTGACATTACTCTTCATAAGATATAGCTCAGGGTAGTGCTTGTGAAGCTTACCTTTCACCAGAGACTAAATATTTTCAATTGGATTGAGATCTGGTGAATAGACAGGAATTTCCATCAGTGTAATTCCCTGCCCTCTGAGCCATCTCCTAAAAGGCAAGTGAGTCTTAGCATTGTCAATGATAAAAAATACCTCTTCTTCTCCAGCCTTTTCTCTGATATTCTCCCATATTTCTAGAAAGTCATAATGATCATAAACACTAATAATTGACTTCCCAGTAACTCTACCCCTAGCAGAAGAAGGATCAGGAATAACAGGAAAAAAAAAACCCTGAGTTTGACTAAAAACAACCAGTCATCATCTGGCTAATCTCTCTCTCCCCTCTCCTAGCCTTAGGTTTAATACAATCCTTATTCCATTTCTCATATGAGTATCTGAAAACCTATTTTCTCCTCTTTTCTCCTCCTCTTTCCACAGCTACCTCATCCCCCCACATTGCCTTCCTTCTCAACATCTCCTTTGTCCAATACCTATGAGCTAATGCCTATTCTAACCTCTCTTGAGCTAGATCCTCATTCAAATAAACTCTCTCTTGTACTATCCACTTTCTAAGATGCTTTTTTTCAAGTCTTCTCCTTACTGTCCTACTAGAAACATTGGGAGCAACTTGCTCAGCAATGTCAGAATAGGTAGTATGGTGATTTTTAAGAGCTTCCTCTACCATAGCATCATCCTGTGACTTGGTAGTTTTAGAATGTCTTCCTCTATCCTTATTCTCCTTGCCCTCTTGATGTCCTTTTGCAATTGTGTCTCTGACTGTAGTGTAGGGGATATTAAGATAGTGGGAAATTTGCTAATATCTCATCTGAGGCTCGTGTAACCCGAGAATCCTTCCCCTGGTAAACTCAGAGAGATGTGTGGAGGGAATAGGTTTTTTGGCATGACTGCAAAGAATAGGAGGTATAGTTTATTGAAAAAAAGAATTGAGTGGAATGGTTTCTTCTTGGTTGACTTAGAGCAATTTTTTTAGGTACTGTTGAGAGTACGGGGTGATGAAGAGGGGTGGGTTGCCACTGATTGTTAAATCGCGGTTAATTTTGTCAACGTACAATACCTACTAGTACTACCTATTTAACTGGAACTACTTGGAATGAGCTGAAAATCCAGCAAGTATTAACGATATCATAATATCATATGAAAATACCATGATATTTATGTGTCTACCAAACATGGTGCTGTATATTTTTACCTTCACTATCTTAAATACTGAGTGTTTTGGACGTGCCAAACAGGGTCTTATAATTAAATTTATTTCTCTATTTGTTTATTGAAATCGGGTTTGATGTGGTCCACTGTACAGGTACCTTCCCATAGGTATGATATCGGTGACTGGATAACAATTCTATGGGTCTTATGCGGCCTTCAAACCAGCCACGTGTATAACTTAGTAAATGCCCTACTGCCTATGTCATATAAGAAGCATGTGACGGTTCGTGGTACTACACCTCGAAATTCTCTGATCGTTGCTCTGACCTCTCGGAAAGCCCCTGCCTAATCACAGTTGCGCACGATGCCTTCGAAGAAAAACAGGGAAGAAATGGAATCTTCAGTCTTTCTCCTCGCCCTACGACAGACCATCGCGGAATGGCTTTCTAACTCTAGGAAGGATGTAACCATTGCATCCAAGGTTTGTGAAAAAGGGGGTATCGATCCAAAGACTTCCAGACTTAAGAAAAGTCCCAGTCTGCTTTTCCGTCTCTGGAACACCGTGGCAAAATCACCACCGGAATCATTCCACCCCCGAGAAGAGGAAACCCAGCCGATTGCTAAGGACGAGGAAGTGCTTTTGCATGATTCCCAGTCTCATCCGCTGCAGCCTTATTATGCCCCTGCTTCCAAGATAAAGAAGCACCGGGAAAATCTTCTATACGAAGCGTCTGTCCTCAAATTTTGGGGGATCATCCACGATGATACGGTGATGGTTGACACCTTGAATGCTCCTGGTCGTGGCTCTGTCATGGATTCTAGGGTTGTTCCCGAAACCGTAGCACCGGATATGATTGCTGGGAGGCGGTGGGAGGGGGATCATTTTAAGGAGTACGGGAAAAACGTGAACCCTAGAATCGGACTCGGCGGGATTAGTATTGATGGTCACTATCATGCCTCGTTTTTTTCTATTTCTAAACTAATTCATTTGACTAGAATTCCCCACATCCAGAGAGGCTAACAGCCGCCCCCTCATCCACCTTGCAGGACCTCAGCCTCTGGAGTCTCTGCAGAGAAGAGAGAGGGTGGTAAGCTGGACTAATTCTATTCAAGAGTACGCAGGGGGCCTGGGACACGTCTATCGCACTGGGGAAAGGCCGGTCAGTGATCGCTTCCGCAGCCTTACAACTATAGATTTTAGAGACGGAAACATAGCTCCAGATCCGGATATCAAACCTAGGGAATTTGTGGGAAGGACACCAACGTTACACTTGTTGAGTTCACAGACAGGTTTTGGACAACGTCCTCAATTTGAACAGGACCATGAAGATTTGATGAACGATTGGGAGACAGCGGTGCGTTTGATGGAGGAGCTCTCTATTGCCGAGCGCTCGGGAAGTCGTTTGAGGAGGAAGAAAAAGATCCTAGGAATCAGGGATAAGAGCATTTCCAAGGGAAAGAACCCTGTCAAAGAGCCTTTGGATCATGGATACCAGAAGTTCGAGGAGAACACTGGTGTTGAGGGCGATGCCGTTTACAGTAGCGGAGAGGACGACTCAAGTGATTACGAAGATGATAGCTGCACTGGCGACGAATATTGATATTTGAACACGATTGCGGTTTTTATTATGGGATTGCTTATGTTGCATATGAAGGTGTATTATGAATCTAGCCTTGACCTCATATTTTGCTTTAACCTTTTTCGAAGTTTTGCTTCAACCTCTTTTGCCTGTGTTCGAGGGGCCCCCAGTCTTCTCTAGCATGAGTTCTGCAGATTTGTTTATTCCTGAGGCAGAATAGCTTATAGTAGTAATCACGGTTTAAGATGTCGGGATTAAGGTGATCGGTATAGATTAGCAATATCAATCCAAACACCAACGCTTTCCAATGGTATAAAAGGCCATGGCCATGATATATCAGATCTCATTTGCACCCCAACGGCCCGACAGTATCCCGCAACTACATTTGAGGATAGGTCTCGATATACCAAAAGCAAAACTAGTACTGAGGTACGCCTAACGCGCTCCGTAGTTAGGGAAAAACTTCGCCTCCGCTTTCGGAAACAACCTGATCCGCCAGAAGATCTTGGGTCGAGGGACCCACAAAGCAAACATGATCAGCGGAAAGAGGTATCTCATCAAGTTCGGCATGATCGGTAATATCAACCGTATGGTGCCTGCATCTCACCCCATGACAGCCGATAACCGCGGCCCAACCAGTTGGCATCAACCTCCTCATCAACCAGAAGGCGCAACACTCCCTCACTCCTGGCACAGCCCACAGAGGTGTACGGCGGGGTCTACCGGAGGAAGCCTAGCAAGGTTTGGATTGCCCAATAAAGCCCTCACGACCTCCCCATGTCCTTTCGGAACGACCTCCTTCCTATCCAGGAGAGTGCGGATTTCCTCGACCATTCTCTGTCCCGAGGTGGGGAGACGGGTGTCAGGTAACCTAGTGAAAGGTGAGTTAGGGTTGTGAGGAGGAGCGTGTTTGGAGGAGCGTTGAATAGTATTATGTGGGTCGGTGCTGGCAGTGGTGGTGATGGTATTATATGATACTGGGGAGGAAGGCTGCAGTTGGGCGCGTTGGGGATGACGACACGTTCTCTTCGGTGGCGAGGCTTTCACAATGTCTAGATAGGGCGCTTTCCCCCATCCTTGCTTTGTGTATGCACACATAGGATTGCGCCTTTGGCTCGATGTTATCATACCTGGTCTCCTATTTTTGTCTTCCCGCGACCGGGCCAGTAGTGTGAGTTGCATGACAAATCACTCGAATAACTTTGCCTACCACTGTTGGCTGTTGGGTATGCCAAGGAAGAGAAAGTGAAGGTCGAGGGATATAGAGAGATGTAGGGAGGCATATATTGAAAAGAAGGAGTGTTAGGCTCTGTTCGGTTACAACGGCTCCGTTCCGTTTTGCGACCGTTTCTGCCGTAAAAAGGATCGCCAAGTGGAAGAAAATGGTCACTTTGTATGGGGTAATGGAACGGAACCGCTGCAACCAAACAGGCCCTTGGTTTTCTGTGCTCTTCTCTTTCAACATGCGCCAGAACCAGCAGTACTTATACCCACAGAAGGGGCTGACAGTCAGGGGTATG